CAGATAGATCATTTTTGTATCTCTCCTAAGTTCAGGCGTTCACTGGAAGATGTCAAAGTACAGAGAGGGGCATATGTTGGATCGGATCATCATTTGCTGTTGGTAAAACTCAAGCTTCGACTCATACTCTGGCTGATCTTGGCGGTGAGGACACGGAGGTGGATACACACTGGACCAAGGTCAAAGAAGTCTTTACATCAACATGTCAAGAAGTACTCGGTGGGAAGAAATGGGAGCACAAGGAATGGATTAGCCAACACTCATTGGATTTAATTAGGATAAGAAGACAACTAAAGGCAGAAACGAATGCAAGTAGAACAAGAGGATCAAGAGCGGATGTATTGGAGCAGTACAGGACAACAGCTAAAGATGTCAAGAAATCAATAAGAAAAGACACATAGGAATTCATAAACAGGCTAGCAGAGAAGGCAGATGAAGCAGCGATAGGAGGGAACATGCGAATCCTTTACCAGACCACAAGGACACTTGCTGGAAAATATGGGAAACCTGAAGTACATGTAAAGGACCAAGACGGGAAAAGCATTTTTGGAAAGGAAGCTCAGTCTAAGCGATGGGTAGAGCATTTCAACAGTCTCCTGAACAGACCACCAACGAGTAACCCACCAAACATACTGCCAGCAAAAAATGAGTTACCTATCTGCTGTGATGCTCCTTCAAAACAAGAGATTCTGGATGCCATTAAGAAGCTGAACAAAGGTAAAGCGGCCGGTCCCGACCAGATTCCACCTGAAGCCCTAAAAGCAGATGCCAATGTGACGGCAGACATCCTCCTCCCATTGTTTACTAGGATCTGGAATGAGAGCAAGTTCCCAAAGGATTGGAAAGAAGGACACCTCGTGCAGCTTTCAAAAAAGGGGGATCTCAGCAACTGCAGCAACTGCAGCAACTACAGAGGGATCACTCTTCTCTCAATACCAGCTAAGGTCTTTAACAGAATCATTCTGGAAAGAATCAAGACAGGAACGGATCCAAGACTACGGGATGAACAGGCCGGTTTCCGGAAAAATCGCTCAACCACCGACCAGCTTGCCACGCTGAGGATTATTGTGGAACAGTCCCTGGAGTGGAACTCCCAGCTGATTGTCAACTTCCTTGACTATGAGAAGGCCTTTGACAGTATAGACCGAGCGACACTATGAAAGATAATGGGACACCACGAATCCTACAGAAGTTGATGAACCTCATCAAGAGCATGTACGAAGGGACAAGTTGCAGGGTCGTACATGATGGCCAGCTCACGGACAGCTTTGACATCAAGACTGGAGTGAGACAGGGATGCTTATTATCACCGTTCCTCTTCATATTGGCACTCGACTGACTGATGAAGGAAACCACCAGAGGACACAGAAATGGTACACAGTGGACACCATGGACACAGTTGGACGATCTGGATTTTGCAGACGACTTGGCGTCAGATGCAAGCAAGGACTTCAGTATTAAATAGCCTATCGGAGTCTGTTGGATTGAGGATCCACCCCGGAAAGTCAAAGGTCCTAAGGACAGATGCACAACGAAAGGAGCGGGTCACAATAGAAGGAAAGGCCCTAGAAAACGTTGAATCCTTCTGTTATCTTGGGGGCATAATTGACAGAGAGGGAGGAACAGGTGCTGAAATAAAGTCCCGCATTGGAAAAGCACAGGCCGCTTTCATATCTTTGGATAGGATTTGGAAGACCAGAGAGATCTCACTTCGAACAAAGCTGAGGATTTTCAATTCAAACGTGAAGTCGGTCCTGTTGTATGGATGTGAGGCATGGAACGCATCACAGACTTGTATAAAGGGGATCCAGGTTTTCTTGAACAGGTGTCTAAGAAAGTTACTGAGGATCAGATGGACAGACAGGGTCACCAATGTGGAAGTGTTAAGGAAAACAAGACAGATCCCAGTCAGAGATGAGGTAGGAAGAAGGCGGTGGCGATGGATTGGAAATACTCTCAGGAAGTCAGGCAGCTGCATAACAAAGAAAGTTTTGGATTGGAACCCACAGGGCAAGAGATCAAGGGGAAGACCTCGTGGAACTTGGAGAAGAATCACAGAAATCGATGTACAGAAAAGTGGGAACACATGGAATAACATCAAGAGGCTAGCCCAGGACAGAGAAAAGTGGAGGGTGTTTGTCCGTGGCCTATACCCTGATGCAGGGTGAGAAAGGCAATGATGATGATGATGAAGACTGCACAATGTTTCTATATTTTTCCGTCACGCCCTAATATCCTCCTCAGATTCTCGCTCTGCTCGACATCGTCTCAACAGATTTCAACTCCTAAAAGAACGGGCAGGTACGTCAAGGAGCTTAAAACAAACTTACTGTAATTGGTCGGGCTGGACAGGATGGAAAGAATTACTATCTCAGACCCAAAGCTGGCTAATTAAGTTGTTCTGGATAAACCCATGATCTTCATTTTATTATGACATTGAAACTCATTAGGGACAATCCTAAATAATCTACAGTATAATCCGTTTTATATGGCCCTATATAATATATATATATATATATATATAT